TAAAGTATCTTAATTTTTACAGCCCTTGCTGATTTTTACAGCTCTCTCGCTCACTCTCTCTCTCTCTCTCTCTCTCTCTCTCTCTCTCTCTAGCCTATCTTACCCTATCTCTAGCGTCTTTCCCACTCGCTGGTTAAGCTTCATCGATTCATACGCATTTAAAAGGGCCAAGAATTTTAAAATCGACTCCCACTGTCGCCTAGGTGTAGACTAAGCTACACACGGCTTCAAATACGTTCCACTAGGTGTTTTAGGTCCTTACAAACTTCATTTTGATAAAATCAAAACGCGTTTCTCTGTGTAATTTGAAGCGGAACGTAGCTGACGAGGCCTAGCCTATACAGAGGTCGATTCTATCACGTTCCAATGCCTTCAAATTCAAGCAACGAATTTTGAGTTACGCTTTCCTTAAGATCTTCTCAATCTTAAAATCTTGCATAGATCAGGCGCAGGATATTTTCCAGACACCCGGAACCACTTTTTACAGAGGCAGACAAGGGTGGCAGGCTGCAGCAACCGACCACCTGAAATTTATTATTCACACCACAACTTCCTCAACCTCTCACAATTCTCAATCAAAAATATGAGCCGTCAAATTACGCGCCCCTCCAAATCACATGGGTTTTCCGCCTGAAATCCTGATTTCGCCCTTAGTGTTTCACCTGACAACTTTCGGCCAATTTTTTCTGGTGACCCCCGAGCCTTCTAATTGAATAATTATCGGTCATTACAAGCATTTTTGAGGTGAAAAAGTTGATCGAGGGCCCCGAGAGGTTTTCAGGCGGCAGGTGTACGCGGCGAAACCCATTGACGTGGGGGTTGGGGCTCCCCGGAAAACAGGTGATATCGTGTTTTTCACGAAGCCTTGATCCAGCTGGCCCACCTGAACTTAATGGCACGCTGATGTGCGCTCGAAAATGTGTAGTTTCGAGGAAGATCGGGGGATTGGAAGTGGCACGTCGAAATTGACGAGGAGGCTACGAATCTTGAGGCTTTGTTACAGACCAACTACGGGACGCTACGGTACGATAGAACACACTACCTTGCCACAAAGGGCGTATTTCGCAGCAGCTTACGAGCTACAATGCGCGTTTGCACGCGGAAGTATCTAACAGTCCCCTTCAGTACGCGGCAGCACACGTATGTACGCTTCAGTACGCTTCGGAGCAGACACTACAACGGACGGCAGTACGCTGCTCGACGCTACAGAGTCCTAAGTACGCCCACGCCGCTGCCGCACGCTGCCGCACACCACAAGTACGATAGACTACACTGCAGTAAGCGACAGCACGTTTCACTACGCTAAAGGACCTGACGTTGCTCATACTTACGCTACGAATATCGATAGTGCGCTACTGCCCGCTGCATTGGGATATAAGTACGTTGAAAAACGCGGCGTTTGCAACAGTCAGCTCCTCATTCCAGGACCTCCGCAACAGTCCGCCAAAATTGGCACCGGGAGCTACCGTACTTTTGAGTACAACGTCGTGCGCTTCCGTAGGCTTACGTAGTATGCATTGTGCACTGTTTGTAGTGGTACACACAGCCCCTTGCTCAGGATTATAGTACGCTTCTATACGCTATTACATGTAAAACTCTTCCACACTTAGCTTCAATACTCTTCTAAATTTCCTGATCACCGAGAAACGTTTAATGAACGCTCCATTCAAACATCTTCTTCCCCAAAAAAACGGTACCGGCGCCAGGTGCAAAACTTTTGGCAGATAGCGATAATTGAGGGCGGAACCGATGTGGTCACAGACAGACAGATCTATCGAGACGGACAGATACACATACAAGAAAAAGAAAACCAATTATCCGAGGTTGCAACGACCACCGGAAAAACAATGAACACACCAGGGAGGGGCGGGGGAGGGTTTTGAAGGGGATGGGCCAATGGGGCACAAATCTCCTGCGGTGGGCCACAGCCGGCCTGCATTGCGCAACGCCGGCGATTTGTACCCTAAATTGTGCCCCTAGGCCCACTTGATTTGACAACAAACGGAAGTCGTGAGGAATGCGCGTTTTGGGCTTGATTATAGAGAATTTATGCAGTTCTTGGCAAAAATAAACCTACCTTCGGAATTAGAGTATTCCATATTTTTCAGGAGCATGTCATAAGCTACCGTAGTTCGTGATTTGGTACCCCCTTAAAATTAAGCATTATAGCCTTGATTATCGAATTCTCGCGATTTTTCGTGCAACAAAAACGCTCATAAATTTAAAGATTTTGCACGGCAGGTTCTAGAAAATACGAAAAACCAAAAATACAGCCGGACTACGGCAGAAAAAAAGCCGAAAGCATAGCTTCAAGCTCGGCATAGCTACTACCCCAATCTGAATATTTTGACTTATTAATGACTTTGAATATTCATCTAAACGTTCGAATAAATACCGTCATTTCCCCCGATTTTTGGAGGTTAACCTTAAATCCAGCTGTGCCCCGAGGCCCACAGTTACCGTACCCAAGCGGTATTCTTGACACCTCTTAACACCCACTTATAACGTGGCCCTAAAGCCACTTCTTCACCCCCCAAACACCCACTCGACTTATTGGCTTCGTTTGTGCTGGTTATCCAAAAGCCGGGGTCTTTATAGGTTTTCGTAGTCCCGATTATTCTGCATCTTCCTCAAATTTTAAGTCAGACTTAAAATTGTTCAGGTTTCTCATTATCCCTCTCGCTCTCCCTCTCTCCCTCTATCTCCCGCTCTCCCTCTATCTCCCTCTCTCGCTCTCTCTCGCTTGCCGATTTCGAAGCCTACAGTAACCCCGAGCCACAAAAAATGTCCCACCAAGGCCCCCGCTTTCACCTGGGCATACGGTAGTCCTTTTTGTCTTTTTTTCTGTTGCCCGCCACCTCGTGATAGCCGTTTCAGGTGCTAAAAGCGCCCCGAAATAGCACGATACGCTGTAAAAGCGGCAGAACATAATAAGAAGGGCTTACAGTGGCTATTTTGGGCGTAGAACACTAATGATCTGTTATTAGAAATGGGGAGCAAGAAACAGGGTCATAAAATAGGCGTGAAAAGCTGTTGAAGGGTCTTCTTAAATGTTGTCTAGCAAAATCATTTTTACAAATTTTAAACCGCAAGTTCTATAAGGAAAAGCGGGATTTTGGATCAATCGAGCATGAATTCCATAAGTTCTCCTTCTCTTTCTAAAGGACTGAGAATGTGTTGAAACCGACCCTAGCGTCAACTAGGTGTCTATATTTTCGCGCGTATTAGAAGTTAGCCTTTTGGATGTTCAAGGGACGGGCAAGCCTTGACTATGCTGGCAACCGCGACACGCAACGCGTAATACGTCTCTCCCTGTCGTCTAATAAGATACGACCGCGCCACGCAGCCACACTACGCATGCAAACCGTAACTCCAAAACTCCCGACTCTTGGCTTGCTTGTCCCTGTCATTCGATACCTTTAAGCTGCTTTTTGTGAACTTACGCGAAGGCAAATGTCTTTTATTATCGTCTGAAAGCATTGATTCCGGTAGTAGCTAATCGATAGTAGCGTTGCGTAGACCTTCTGCGTCGCCTTAATTTTTGCAAATGGAACACTTCTCCGAAAACACGTGTTGAAATCGGGATTCTCATGATATTTCCCCAAGCCGCTCCTATTGCCAAGGCTGTCGATAGCATCCCCACGTAGCCCCACCATTCATCACCCCCCTCTGCCCCATTCCACAAATTCTAATCCGCCACCCCGATTCCTGGCGGCCAAGCGGAAGATACGGTAATCTCAATTTCACGCCTGGATACACATCACAAAATCAAGTGGAAAGCGGGGGTCGAAAACAAAAAACGGGGCGAGGGATAGAATACGGATTATTGTATCGATTGATTAGGGGGTGGCGGAAGCCGATTTACAGGAGCGATCGGGGGGGATTTTCACGGGTTTGGTCGCGGTTTTTTGGTGAGTGGGACTAGCGCTCGCTCTTTCTCGCTCTCTCTCTCTCTCTCTCTCTCCCTCTCTCTCTCGCTCTCTCTCGCTCTCCCTCTCTAGTGCGCTTATATCTCTTGCTTTTAATTTATTTCACTCCCGCTCGAATCGTCGCCCTCTCGTACTCATTCACTCTTTTCCTCTAACTTCTGTTGACTTACGCTGTTTCTATACGTTTTCTTAAATTGACTCTATCTCTCTCGCTTTCTCTCGCTCGCTCTCTCTTTCTTTTTTTCTTTCTCTTGCTCTCGACCTCTATCTCTCTATCTCGCTCGTACTCATTCACTCTTTGTCTCCAGCCTTTGTTACCTTACTCCATTTTTATGCGTTTTCTTAAATTTATTCGATCTCCCCGCTGAATCTCTTGCTCTTTTGCTCTCTCTTTTCTCTGGTTCTTTCTCGTGTTCATTGACTCACTGACCTCGTCCAACTCCGCTATCTTTCCTCCAGCGCTTCCTCATTCTCATCCCTGTTTTGAAGCCAGAAACTGATGGGAAGGGATTAAGTTAAGTTATAAATAATCTCCATTTCTCTAATCCTCTCCTAAACCGCTCGCTTTCCCACCGACACTCCTCCTCCCCTCCTACCCTCCTATTTGAGAAGGCTACGGTACCCGAAAGGGGGTGTGGCCACTCCCCTTCTCCCTTTCCATCCACCCATCCACCGAGACTCCCACCAACACCTGGCCCCCAGCCAGAAGGCCCTGAATTTCTAAAGGCCCAGGTTTCGATTACACTCGAATGCTTTTAGTGATGTTATAATCCTTGAGATACCTGCAAAAAGGCTGAAAAATTACGAGACTTTTTGTCATTTCTTGAAGGAGTGACGTTTTGGAATCATAAAGTCTTTTTCCTCTCTTAAAATCCAGAATTTCGGCAGGTTTTGGCTTTGAAACCCTCCAAAAATAATATGTGAATATAAATAGAAAAATAGAAGTGTGCTTTTTTGATTCTGGAGTTTATTATACTGAATTTTCGGCCATTACAACGTTTTAACGACGACTTTTTTAGAATCACTTTTGAGCACGAGCTAAAAATTCGTTATTAAGACCACTTTTTCAGCATGTCGACGACGCTCGACCTGCCGGGAATGATCTTCCTGACGTCGATGAAGGAGGAGCTTGATCATTATAATGTGGACCACCATCACCCGCTGCCCTCACTACCCCCGCCACAGCAACCAGTCCATCATAGTGAGTCATAGTTTTTGGATTAAAATGTCCAGAAACCGTAAGAATCGACCCTTGGCGGCGTCTAGGTCTCGACAGCCGCGTTCGGCGGCAAACTAGGAGCAATTCCCCCTAAAAGGATTTAAAAACGTAATGTCGAGCTATGGGGTAGATTCTAGCGCTTCCTACTGCCGTTAAAGACTCTATGACTCGCTCGATTTAATCAGAAAATTACCGTAAGCTATTAAAATTCGAGTCGCGAAATGGCTTCTTAAGCCGGATGACTTCAAAGTTTGGCTTAAGCGCGTGTTTAGCGCGCAAGGGAGGGAGAGGGAGCGAGAGATATAAGAAAGCGCGTGAGGGAGAAAGAACAATCTTGAGGGGTAGAGCGAGCGAGAGACGCCAACGGAAGCGTAAGGAGGTGTATGCGGAAGCTAACCAGAAAGTACGTTTTATGGAATCGTCGTATAGTAGTATCGGTACACATAGGATAACGGGGGAAATAACGGAGGGGGGCACTCAAACTTTCTATATGATAAAAGTATTTTTAAATATGCTTTTTTCGGGCTGTAAAAAAAACTCTTAGTATATTTTTCGGTCCTCTATCGAATGGCGCTTTCAAAATCTCGAAAATATTCAAAACGCCGAAAAATTTTTCCCCCCTGTTATCCTCTGTGCTGCCCATAGTTTTCAAAAATAGTTTTTAGGCTATAAAAGTTTTATAATACATTTTTTCGCGTTGTAAAAAAATCTCTTAGTATATTTTTTGATGTTCTATCGATTCGCGTTTTCAAAATATCGAAAATCTCAAAAATTTGGCTTTCCCCCCCGTTATCCTATATGCTGCCCATGGATTTTGATCAATTTTTGTTTATTCGATAAAAAATTTCATTTACATTATTTCGGGCTGAAATTAATTTTCCTAGGGCAGTTTTCGACGCTTTATCGAATGACGTTTTCAAAATACCGAAAATTTCGAAAATTTCGAAAATTTGACTTCCCCCCCGTTATCCTATGTGCTGCCCATAGATTTTCCTCAATTTTTGTTTATTCAATAAAAAATTTCCATTACATTATTTTGGGCTCAAATTAATTCTCTTAGTATATTTTTCGACGCTCTATCGAATGGCACTCGCAAAATCCCTCAGTAATTGCAAATTTCATAATAATGAGTGCCCCCCGTTATTTTTATTCCCCCCCGTTACCCTATGTGTACCGAGAAGCCAATTAATGACAAGTAACGTTAGATCGCGTAGAAATCAAAATTTCAAACCTCCGAATAGCATAGCGCGACCGGAAACGAAGTGACTGACGGACTGGCTGGCTGACTGGTGGGCTGGAGGCTGTGTGGGCATATTTTAAGGGTCTCACCGTCAGTGGGCTAATTGGGTCCACCGGATTTGTGATCTGCCCCTTGCCATTTTTGCGCTAATGGGTCTTTTTGTCAAGGGGTGAAGCCGAGAGGCACCAAATTACGGACCGGCTCTTTTGGATTCAAGTCGTTATTAACGTTTAATCGTCCCGAAAATTCCTTAATTTGCTTAATTTAATTGGCATTATTGACCGTTTTAAAATTATATTTTTTATCAGTTAAATTCTCCACAAAGTATTGATTTTTACGCTAAATTAAGCTTCCCAAAACGCAGCCCACTGATTACCAGGATGTAAATTACCAGCCGCCCCTCGCCGGGGTCATAACTACACGCGGCTCCGAGTTTACACCAGATGCCGATCGGTCGGTCGGTCGGCGGCGGGGGCTCTGTGCGAGATTTCAGCCCCCCGACGCGCGCCCTTTTAGCCCCAGCCAACCGGCGCCATAAAATTCGGATGTTTAGTACAGGCTCTCGGGGGGTTGTTGGGCTGGCCCGAGTTTTGAGATCATAAACTTTCCCGGGGGGTCACAAGCTTTACCGAGAGGAGCAAGGTTAAAAGACACGTTTTAAGGCTAAAAACAGAGGCATACTGTAGCGTGCTTTTACGGAATCGATTACGGTATCACAAGTAGTGAAGCCTAACGTAAGGTCAAATAGATTTTAGGGGACTTGAATCGATATTTATCGGCCGCCAAGCTTCAACAGCTACGCGCCGCCCCAAATGACGCTTGTAACTTGATTCCAAAAGGATCCTCTGAACTTAGCGTCATTTGGTTTAGCGTGTAGCTCTTAAGGCCTAGTCTGATAATTAATAAGCCCTTAAAGATGTTTATGCACCCAGAAAAGCCGAATCGTGTATATAATGACACCCTCATTCGCATCTTTTCAGATGTCTGCTCTGCCTGCTCGTACCACATCTACGACAAGGACATTTACGTATCCGGGGATCGATTGTTTCACGAGAGGTGCATGAGGTTGGTCATGCGCCTTTAGAAAATACGTTAAACACAAAAAAACTACTAAAACGTAAATCGTCCATAGGTGTCGTGCGGAATAAACGTCCAGGAAAAGCTGATTTTCGTGATTCAGATGTATCCTTTTTGATCCGGATTTACGTATCGCATATGATTATGCCTTAGGATATCGTATTCATTTTACCAGCTTCCGTATGATAAATCCGCTTCTTAGATGTGCGGTCTGCAGCGTAACGCTGCCCCCGGCAGATCGATATTGGACGCGGGAGGGGCTGATGTATTGCAGGGCTGATTATTTGAAGTAAGTCGAGAGTAGGTTTTTCTCTCTCTCTCTCTCGCTCTCTCCCTTGCTCTCTCTCGTTCTCTCTCTTTTTCTCTCTCGCTTTCTCTCTCCCCCCTGCGCTCTCTCGTCTCAATTCCAATTTTATGCCCAAACCCCAAAATTCGTGCCCATTTCAAAAACTCTCCCAATGCACTACGGCAAGATACACACAACGCACCGGGTTCGCGTGTAAAATCACCCCAAATGGTCGCGATTCCCCGACATCAAAATCAGCTGCCCGGCCCTATCGTGTGGTTCAGAATACGTCTGAAATTCATCTGTTTTCGGGGCAGCTGGTTTTTCGTTTTTTTCGCAGAATACAGCGACGAGAAAACGGGAAGTATCGCTTGAAAGAAAGGGGTGAAAAAGCGGAAATGATCGACGAACCCCTCCAAAATCGGCGATCATCAGAAAAATGGTTTAAAGCACCTGGGATACTGTTTTTTGATGTCGCAGGAGAGGTCTGGAGCACCGGAAAAACAATGCAAGATCTAGCACGGCTTCTAAACGCTAATGGGAGGTCAAGATGGCGATTAAAAGGGACTGGAACTTGTGAAAATTGACCCGCTTGCCTGGACTAGGTGTCGACAACTACAAAATAAGCCAAACTACATTGATTGAAGTCGTCGATACCACAAAAATTCAACGCTTGAACCGTTATTTGGAGCGAAACGTAGTGGTCGAGATCTAGTATCGAGTAGACGTCGATTGTTGCTATTTCAAGCGCCTTTAACGGGCTGGAAATCTTAAAAGTTGAGCAAGATAAAAGTGGAAGAGAGGGAAAAAGATAGACGAGTGAGAGAGAGAGCGAGAGAAAGGGAGAGAACGATTGTGAGAGACTGCGTGCGAGTGAGAGAGTGAGAGAGGGAAAGAGGGAGCGTGAGAGAGAGGGCGTTTAGCGTGATGAGAGTGATGAGAGTGAGTGCGAGAAAGCGCGAGAGGGAGAGAACGTGAGAGATAGAGGAGAGAGAGAGAGAGAGAGAGAGAGAGAGAGAGAGATGTCTAGGATGGTCTAGAGCGATCGGCACCTAAAAATGCCCAGAACACCTTGATCTCCTCGTATTGAGGGCCGTCATCCATCACAAAAATCGCCCCCTCGAGCAAAACGTTCCGGTTTTTGGACCCGTTTTTTTTTGGATTCCAAGACCAGATATTAGGTTGAACCGAAAGTAATTGTAATTTTTCGATTGTAAAAATTTTACGGAATCCACCATTCGTTCATTCTAATTTTTTGCTATGATTTAGGCTCAAGTCTTGTCCAGTTTCAGTTTGATGTTTAACTCGGAACTGCCACAAATTTTTTAATTAACTGGAGAAGAGTGAGCGCAACCCAGATTCCGGGTTATTGGTTTTCGTGAAGGATCTCGCCGGCCGTTCCGACCCTAGTGACTTGAATAAGTGATAGTAGATAGAGAAACATTTGGGCTATGCAGTGCATTAAAGAGAATTTTTAATAGCTAGCTGCATTATTTTTCCCAGGTCAATTTAAAAAGATGTCAATCTGGGTTTTTTGGGCTGCGAATCGACATATTCCTTTGTCGGCCGTTTTCTCCGAGTTTAGTGGATAACTTTTTGAGTGGACTCTATCAAAATCAAGCTCAATTAAATCTGTTTCATGCCCGTAGATCACATCAGAACAAATGTTCTGTCTCCGTCTGGAATTGAGAAATGAATCGTAATTTTGAGCACATTTTGGTTTTATTTTTTTCTCCGCGAAAGAATGGGTTTAAAATATTGGCAATTGTAACACAGTATCTACTGTGGCTGACCAATAATACTGCACCAAAGAAAAACCTTGATTGGCAAAGGTGAAAGAATGGCAATGCAAATTGTGTGGTTCCAGCCGATCTCCGGGTCGGCCACTTGGTGCCTCACTAATTGGCAAAATTTGTTCAGATAAAGAAGGGTGGGAAGATAGCTGGGATTGGTAGTATGTTTGTCATTAAAAACTGCTTATGATAAATGGATCAGATTTAATTTCATTATCCTCAGTAAATTTAAGACAGTCTTTTAGTCAAGCTCACCAAAAAGTCGGATTTTTATCCAAACAGATGAGAATATCGGCCTACTGTAAATCCGTTAGCTGAATTAGGCACCATAGTCAGAAAGATATTAAACTGGCATTATAAATTACCAGTTACGATAGGGGGATTACGGCAGCGGTAATTTTTATAAGGCTGGAAACAAAGAGGTATCCCGGATGTCAGCGCCTCGGGTGGTCCTGTGCCGCGGGCAAAATCAGTTATAAAAAGAGTGTTAGGGCTAGGATCTGCCCGATATTTCTAGGGTATATAGTACCTTGCTAGACCAAACAAAGGAAGTTAAAAGCCAGTTGGCTACTTGGTAGAATTATTAGAAATCTTGTCCAGAAGATCGATTACAATTACTTTCGGTTCAACCTAATATCAGGCCCCGGTCGACCTGGGGAGTCATTTCTAGCGCTTCCCCACCCCCCTATAACCGCCATTCTTTCCAGCAAATACCCGAACATGTGCCCGAAATGCCTGCTTCCGGTGCAGCCTGGCGACCACTACCATACGTGGGCCGATGCCATCTACCACGACGAGTGTTTCATCTGCTCCGTGTGCAGTGTACGTCCCCACTCGATGCACAGGGACCATATGAAGAAGCTGTATTGTGGAGGTAAAGCTACAAAAAAATGCAGAACCTTGGCTTCAGAACACTTTGAAATGCCGGCTCACCTCATCCAACTTCCGGCCACTTCCACCCCGAGCGATGACCAGAGAATGGCCGAGGAGATGGCCATGGATTTGGAGAAGGGACCAGGAAGTGAGTGAAATTTTACGTTACTTATAGCTACTTTTGCGTAGTGTAAGTACGCATTGCGACGTAGTGTACATAGAGTCAAGCCGTAACGTAGCGTACGTAGGTGACTTTTCGAAGGTGTGATTATAAGGATGCACGGCGCAATTACGGATATGCATCCGACGTATGATGTTAGCCAGTATTCTTACGTAGCACGTATTACATTCCTTTGCCGCGTATCTACGTATTATTGAGTAGCGTAGGTGGGTAGCATAGCATGGTCAGCGATAGCAACGTTGCGCGTCGGTCCGGGGCGTACGTATTGTTGCGTAGTCTTGCGCAAAGTATTGAAGAAACCGATTCCAGATTTTCCTAAAAACTTCTGCTAGCCTGCCTCATTTTGAAATAGCAGAAATCTCCCTAGAACGTTTTCTCGAAGAATCTCTGCTGGTTTGCCTCTATTAATTTTAGAGCTACGCATTTTCCCTGATACTTTTCTGACCCAAAATTAGGCCCATTCACGCATTTTTCATAAAAATGAGCAGTACGGTTTTTTAAGCCCGGAAAAAACGTACATTACGCCCATTGTACAACCGAAACACATTGAAGAAAAGCGCGTCACAGCGTTTATTAATGGCAAATCCGCGTCCCCCATTCAGCCTACTGTAATTAAAACCTCCCCGCTAAACGGCATCCCACCCACTAATTTCGACCGGCAACGTACATTTTTCGCGGCGGTGAATGGACAATAGTTAAATATTCAAGATGCGCTAAATGGGATAAATATAGGGTATTCAGGGCTGGAACTAAAGACCATATGTGGGTAAGAAAATTTGGAAATTAATTTCCGGGCGGGCTAGCAAATATCCCGAGTGAAAAAGCGTTCCGAAAATCGAAAAATGCTCGAATTTTACTCAAAGTCACCTTTGCTCATTCGCTTGCATGATTCCTGCGAAAAGCCGACGATTTGAATGGTAAACAAAAGCCTAAAATCTAACGGAGCGTGGGAAAGCTAGCAAAGATCGTTGAGGAATTTGCGGCTCGGGATTTTATGCAAAAAAAACACACTCGGCCATCGATCAGCCTAAAGAATCTATGCCAATTGCCTTGGCCATTACGAGCAAAATAACACGTCAGTTCTTTGTCTAAAAAATAAACGTCTGTATACCTAAAAATCTACCAAACAGAGGCAAATAGCAAAGATTCTCCAGGTATTTTAAGAGTCGCCTGATGCAATCCAGCAAAGGCACTTTGGGAATATTGTCATAGGTTGTTTCTTTATTTCCCCAAAGTATCCCAGCTAGCTTGCCTTCGGCTTTGAATCCACAAGCTTAAAGTCGGACAGGTTTCTCCGAAAAACTACCCATCCAAAATTACCTAAAACTCAACAAAGAGCAATCTAGCAAAGATCCTTCGATCCGAACGTATCTATATATAGACCAGTGGAAAATGACCGCTTCGCGGCCCTTCTCCAGGACGCCAACAGAATTATGAATTCCCTTTCTTAAAGCCGGACGTGCAAAGAACCTGACTCAAGGAACCATTAGTTGGCTTGCGCCGCCAGAGCCAGCTTTGCGCTAAAAACTTTTCCCTGCGGCGCTAGCTACTGCTTTTCTCCCGGATTTGCCTGCGGCGCGGCGCAACTCAAGGAGCTTTTCATTGGCCTGCGGCGCCAGAGCCAGCATTCCGCTAGAATCTGAGCCTGCGGCGCTAGTTACTGGGTTTTCTCCAGGATTGGCCTGCGGCGCCAGAGCCTGGCTCAAATTTCTTTTCGTTGGCCTGGGGCGCTAGAGCGAGGGCCAGGCCTAAAACTCGCACACCGAGACCATAGAATCGTGTTTTGTTGTTGAACTACCAAAAAGCAAAAAGTTAAATTCGGCGTGGATTCGAACCCGGACCACCCGCTTGGTAGGCCGGGCGCCTATCCACGACACTACGGGGGAGATGGCGATGGGCGGCGGGAAGGGCCTCTTCTGTCTAGGGGGCCGGCATCCCGTGAGGGGGGACTTCTGGTAACTTTACAAAATTCTCTTTTTGAATCTAAATGCGGCGAAAATTTGTAACAATAATAAGAGGTGCGTGATCCCCACCATCGAATACAAAGTGGGCCAAAATTACAGACCAAAATTCCATCTGGGATTCGAGTTATCGCCTGGACACCACGCGACTGTGGCCATTTTATTAAGGACCTTCTAGTAAAATGCTCATAAAAACTTTATTTTAAGGAATTTGGCAAAATCGAAAAAATAGTATCGGGAGAATTGTTTCTTCCATTCACCCTCCAAAAATCAGCGCCCAACTCCTCTTAGCGTCCGAGAAAACCTCCGGACATTCCTTTTTTTACAGCGAAATGTTAAGGATTTTTCACTATTTTGGTTGTAAAACCGTCAAATGAAGGAATTTCGCAAAACAAAAAAATGCATCACTGACAAATGTGTTTCTCCACCTCCGTGCCAAGAATCAGCTCGAAATTCGGCCTGACGGCCGAGAAATCGGCTGTACAGAAAACAGACATACATTTCTCGCTTATAGGATAGGATCTAAAGGTCTATCTAGGTATCTAAAACCCCAAAGAAACCTTCTAGAACCTTAAAAACGCAACCAAGTCCACTAGATATTATCGAAAATTCGGCTGGACAGAGGCAAACTAGCAAAGACACTTTTAAAATTTTGCGAAAGTATCTGAAACGCCAAAGATTAGATATGTTAAAACACAACTTAATCGAACCTATTGCGGCTGGTAATCTTACACCCTCCAATGGTCAATGTTTATCATCGGCCATTTGTTTGGGGGCGCCATCCCCCTCTTGATCCCCTTTCGGCACCCAATGAAAATGTCGGTCGAGAGGGGGAGGGTATGCTAATTATCATGGCAGTGGCTGTTGGTCCTAGCGGGGCTTCTCATTATCCACATCCGACACCGTAGCCCTACCCCCACACTTCGTCCGCCTCTCAGATTCGAGTCGCGGGGCGCGAAAATCGATGCTGGGGGTTGGAGGGGTGGAAATCTACGGCGATTTTCCTAGAGGAAATGGGGGGATTATCAAAAAGGAAACCCTCTTGAAGACGTATCAAAAAAGAGAGAATTAATTTAGAGCGTAAATTTACCGAAAAAAGTCAATAATAAGACACTTTCACGATAGGGGAAGCTTATTTTCGAGTAGAATATGACTAAAAACTATTTTAAAAAAACGCCGAAAAAAGACCTCAATAATACTAGAAAATCCCTGAAAAGTGCATAACCCGTAAACCCAGGCGTACAAAATAGCACTTTTTAGAAACGATAAAAACCTGATTTAACCGAGGTTAAGATCCGCTTCTTACCGCCTAATTGACGATATGAAACTGAAGCTTCATCCTACTAGCTATATGTCACAAAACTAACCGAAAGCAAAAAGCATAAAACACCCAACCTTTCAGGCTACGAAACCCCTGAGCAAGCCGCCGCCAACAACCGCTCAAAGCGCATGCGCACCAGCTTCAAGCATCACCAGCTGAGGACGATGAAGACGTACTTCAACCTCAACCACAATCCCGACTCCAAAGATTTGAAGCAGCTGGCCGTAAAGACCGGTCTTAGCAAGAGGGTGTTGCAGGTTCGTGATAATGAGGCGAAAGATCTGAAAAATGAAAAAGAACGGCGTTTTCTGCATTTTTGGCACCTAGAAAACGTAGTAATCAATAGCGTGGAGCAAATAGCTTGAGTTAAAATTACGTCGAAATCCAGAAATAAAAGCCAGAAGTTGGTGCTTCCGCTTTAGAGGGGGGCATGCCAGGCCAGCCTATAAGGAAAGATAAACGATTTTTATAGCGCTGACCACAATTTTTAGCCACCGAATTGCCATAAAAATGACTAAAAACTCCAAAATCTCCATACTTTTTGGTTAAAAATCACCAAAAAAGGCTAACACTTGAAACTGGCAAACTTGGGTTTCCTCAACCAAAAGCAATCAAAAACTGCCAAAAACGCTCTAAAAATCTGCGAAGAAATCTAACAAATTTCGTAGCAATCTAAAACAAATGCTAACACCATTCCTCCTCCTCCAGGTGTGGTTCCAAAACCAGCGCGCCAAATACCGGCGAACGATGCACTTGCGCGACAACCAAATGGAATCGCCCGGCTCGATTTTTGGCGGCCACGACGGCGGACAGGTCAGTGAATGCTTGAGAAACCGGAATCGTCTAAACAAGCAAGTACTAAAACAACTTTTATAGATGGGCTCGATCAGCTCCGGCTCATCCTCGGTCTCCCCACACTCCCCATTCGCCAACCAGCCAAATGGCGCTCAAATAGACTTCGGCGCCGCGCCATCCGTGGCGGCTTCTTCCCAAACCGCTCTTCCAAATCAAGCCGAATTCGAGCAGGCACTCGCCTCGTCTCAACCCTATCAGCATCCAAGTCCCGTTGGTGTACGTACCCATGCGATTTGAGCCGTTCATCTAAAGAATGTCAAAAAGCACATCTAATTGTAAGCCTCAAAAATCTTAGTTTAGCAACCCCAGAAAGCCTTCCCCTTATCTCAAACTAAAAAGCCTAAAAGTCTTCGAAGCTCCCGAAGCCGAGGAGATTCAGCTTGCCTATACAGGGTGTCCCAAAAAAAACGACCCATCTGGCATTTCGCCGTGTTGCATCCAATCGGTCCCAAATTTGGACCAGAGGTGTATCGGACCCTAAATAACAACAATCCTGACTTATAGCCCTGTAGCAATAGTAGTTCTCGAGTTATAGCGAAAACAAAGTTTATTTTCCATTTTTCATAGGGTTTTCGTGGAATTAGACCCCTAAACATTAAGCGAAAATGATCCGGTAGGCCTTCTGCACCCTAAGAAATTTTTTCCAGAGTAAAATTGATTAAATAAACTTTGATTTAAGCGATTTTTACAACGCAAAATTACGCAAGTTCTTGAGCGAAATTAGGGATTCACAGCCGGAAGTCGATGCAAATCGATGCAAAGTCCAAAAGATAGCCGAAAAAATGCATCAGAATTCCGGGAAAAACAGTATTTTCGTTATAACTCGAGAACCACGATAGCTACAGGGCTATAAGTCAGGATTGTTGTTATTTATGGTCTGATACACCTTTAGTCCAAATTTGGGACCGATTGGATGTAACGCGGCGAAATGCCAGATGGGTCGTTTTTTTTGGGACACCCTGTATATAAGCCGAAAACTCCATCCAGCGTCCAAATCTACCCCAAATATTTGCTTGTGTAAGCCACGTGCATGGCGCAACAAAACTGGGAATTAGCCGATGTTGCACGGTTCCTCTAAATGATAAAGTACCTATAAAGCACCTTCTGATAACCTAAATTACTAATTACGAGGTATTAATGCGTATATTAGTTAAATTTTACGATTAACGGAGTTACTTAGTAAATACTACCACGTGAACCATGCAATACTTGCTAATTGCCACCAAATTTCTATCAGGCCGCTAGCATTTCCCTAAATCACGTAACCTCCTATCGCCCCCCCTCTTTCTCGCCAAAGTAACAATACCGGTATGTCGGACCCGAATACACATCCATTGTACAACTACCACAAATTGATTCGATCGCGCCCGTCTAGTCACATCCATGTCCTCGTCAGTCCGGTTATTTCGCACATGAATAAAGTTGTCAAAACAAGGCATTTTACAGAAATACAGTGTAGTTCTAAAGCCTGCAAAAAATGGAGTAAAGTTGTTTTATTATGCACACACATACACAGCAGTATCCATCTTCAATAGCGCAAGATGACAAGATGAGAAAACTGGGATAGTCACATAATGCATGGCACAGTAAATCTACGACACAAGTGAGAGCACAAAATATCGCCTACGCTACGCTACAGGGTACACAAGCTGGGGAAGGAATAACTTAGCACGGGCAATGTTTAGGCTTCTAGTAGGCGTGGTTGGCGACGAACAGCGACTGGGCGGCGGCCGCGTCTCCGGCCTCGTCCCCGGTGTACTTGCCGACGGAGGCGAGCGAGTTGACGCGGGCACGGTTGAGCAGCACTTCCTGGAAAAGAAAATATTTGATGCGACAATCCGGTTTTAGATTATATTATTATTGTTTTTGCAAAAATGCTAGCCGTAGTTTTTTCTACGATTCCAGATGATGCCAGTTTTACTACTTTTTCATAAAATTGGCCAAAGTTGAGGTGGAAAAAAATTTAGAATCCTAAATTTTAGCCGAAAAAGACTTTATTTTGTTTTAACAAAAATTTGTAAAGACTATCGGGTGGGAAAAATAGACTGCAAACATTTTTACATCTATGTTAAAAAATGGCCTACAGAAAAAGTTTTCCCCATGGAAATGCTAAAAAAACCGCAATTGATCGTTTTAAAAATACCTGAGCGGCAGCCACATTTTCGTCCTTGCCGGCCCACTTGGCGATCACCGACGCCTGGAGGGCACGTCCGTACGAGAACGTCAACGCCCACGGTTTCTTGCCGGCGGCCTAAAACAAATTAAAACCGATTGGAAAAAAATACCTTGTTGATCTCATTGAGGTTGCGGGTAGCCTCCTCCTCGCTCTGCCCTCCCGACAGGAAGACGACGCCGGGAACAGCGACCGGGACCTGAAAATCACAATAATCCACGAAAAATAAAAAAGTATACCGTTCGCTGGAGAGCGGTCACGGTGGCGAGACCAATATCGGCGTTGCTGGGCTTGTTGGAGGCGGACATACCTAAAAACTTGGGCATCAAATAAGGCCTAAAAACTAACCGGCGGTGACCATGTTCGGCTTGAGCAGCGTACCCTCCAGGAAGACGTTATGCTCGTTGAGGGCGCGGTAAGTGTAGGAGAGGACAATCTCGGTCACCTTCTGGCACCAGGCAAGGTCGTGCTCGCCGTCGCACAGCGTCTCCGGCTCGACGATCGGGACCAGGCCGTTCTGCTGGCAGATGGATGCGTAACGGGCGAGAACCTGGAAAAGCAAACGTAGGAGATAACAGACAAATCGGGCAATAAGAAGTCAAGACATACCTGAGCGACTTCAACGAGAGCATGGTGCGAGGGAGTGGTGCCGGAGATCTTGTGAACGCAGCGCCACTTGGCGAACTGGGCGCCGTCCTTCTTGTACTGGGCGCAGCGGGCGTTCAGATCGTCAAGGCCCTGGGTGGTGCCTTCGCCGTTGGTGCCGGCCAGCGGGATGACGCCCTTATCGACCTGAAAAGAGGAAATTGCGAGGGAAATTAACCTTGTCTGAAAAGAGGAAGACCAGATATTCCTAGTAAAGTCACAAGTCTTTGAAAAGAACCCAAAAGCTATTTAGAAAACGCGGAAATTGGAGAAAACGAGTCCAGATATTGCCAGTGATGTAATAACAATAGTTTTAAAGAGATAGGGGCGGCCTAAGTCAATCGATTACGCGAGGGAAAGAAAATGTCTCTGCGCCTCTCCTCTGGGAGCCCTCTCTCGCGCGAGATCGCCGCGGGACCTGTTGAACCCCCCCTCCCCAAGGGGGGTTCAACAGATGCCGTCCTCATCTCTTTAAGTGTTTAGTTTTCATAAAATTTAGCTATATTTAAAAGCAAAAAAACCATTTAGAAAACTCGAATAACGCAAACAGATATTTCCAGTAGTGTAATAAAAACTGTTACAAACATTTTTTTATAGAACTTAGCTATACTTCAAGCCAAAAAATAGCAAAAACAAACTTCCCAAATTCGGTAAATAACTAAAAATTCTGACGTCTTACGATCGAATACAAAAACGGCGTGAAATCCCTACTCTTGCGAAAAACCCTTTGTTCACTTCAACATTTCCGAAATAAAAACCCAGTAAGAGAGAAAATCCAAAACAAACTGTTTACCTTGATGCCGGGGATGATGCCCTTCTTCTTCAGCACATCGACGAACGTGGTGCCGCAGTCGGCCTTCTGGTAGAACGTCTCGTGGAACATGATGACGCCAGAGATGTGCTTGGCGAGCTCATCACTAAAAGCAAACAATTATCTAGCCGAGGATCAAAACAGTGCCTTCCGGTGAAGAGCGTCTGGCGGTACTTCCTGCGGTTCTCCTCGTTGTTCTCGAGGCCGATCGACGCCAGGCGCTTCTCCATCGAACCGGTCGACTCATCGGCGGCCAAGATCCCCTTGCCCGGGGCGACGATAGCCTGAAAATGAAAAGTGGAGTTTTCGAAGGATCCCAGAGACAACTCTAATTCAAATTCTAATAGAAAAATTTTAAAAAAATGACCTTTCTCACATTTTTGACCAAAAAAAAGCATTATTTTGGGACGGCTTCATATTTTTATGGCGCTTCTGAACTTACAAATGGCATAAAATGTTATAAAATAGGTATCTTATTATCTTATTAGGACTAAGGCATCGCTGGGCCAAAGTTAGCACCCCCGCTAACAGTCCAGTACCCCGATTTGTATCATGAAAAGGACTACGGAACTCGTCATTTTCTTCATGGTTGATCCACCCCGGGTCCAAAAAAATTTCCCATCCTCTCACTAGCCCGGGTTGTTTGTCTATTGCCAGCCAAGGATTTAGAGTCGGCCGTTGAACGCGCCTGGGCCCTCAGACACATCGATCCAATACCCGAAGGCCAACTGACCAAGTGGCCTCCTCCTGTGATAACCCCCCAACAAACGGCAAATCGGATTAGCCGGGCCAGTCAAGCGAAATAGAACGCAAAAATCGCTCACGTTGGCAATCTGGCGGAGCTCGTCCTCCTTCTCCTTGCTCAGGTACTGGGCGTAGGGCGACGACATTTTGTTACCTGGAAAAGAATAGTGTGTTGAAAGCCATAATAGACGAAAAAAATATAGATAGAAAACGATAAGAAAGCTACCAAAGAGGGAAAGAAGGGACGGAAGGGCGGTAAAGACACGAATTTCTAACTAGAAACGTCTAATCAGGCAAAGAACGCGAAAAAAAGACCGTTTGACATTGTTAAAGGGAGACCATGTAAATACTAGAAAGCTTGAAACGAGTGTAACGTCGAAAACCTCCAAAGGAAAGGAAAGTGGCTAATACAAACTTGCTAATTAAATGAAGTAAACTCAAGGCGGAAAAGCTCCGATATTTCTGAACCAAATAAGTAATCTAAAAGGCGCAAAAGATTCGAGAAAACCGTGTCTACAAGATGGAAAAAGTTCCTCAAAAACTAGCCGAGACCTCAAGGAGGAAATGCTATTTTGGGGCACATCTCAGGGGGCCTTACCCAGTCGGTTCAGCGAATCGAAGTGGCCAGCCGGGGGCACGGCTGTCCAGGGCCCGGGTGGAGGGAGCAGAGAAAGACAGCAAAAGCCCCGAAAAAAATCGACGTCCGCTCGCCCAGCCCCGAACATTCGCGGGGCATAACAAGCAAAGGCGAGATGTGCCTGGGACAAGGATACGTGGATTTCACGTGAAGTGGGGGTATCAGTGGATTGAAAATTGAGGAAAGAACGGAGAATGTTACTTTAAAAGGAAGCTGAAGTGTAAGTGTGGTTCTTGTAAGAATCACCCAAAAATTCGAGTAACCAACAAAGATTGGCCGCGTCAAGTTTCTAAGAAAGCAACCGAAATTTTCGCTAGCCTTTAACGACACCCAGAGAACGATGAAAAAGGATTCCTTACAGCCGTTGCCGCTAGCCTCAGCGCAAAATAAGAGAAGGCAGGGCAAAACCATTAGAAAGCACACTTATTCGCCGCAAAGTTGATAAAGCGCCAAGGAATTGGAAATTCTGAAAAAAACCCTAGAAAGTAAATGAAGGGGAGCCGGAAGCTAGGGTATCAGAACACCCAGAATGGCATTGAAAACGAGCGCGACGATGATGTAAGGCCATGAAAGCCCTCCAGCGGAGAATCTGGCCCCAGAATAGCGTGACGAAATTGGTGGAGGATGTTGAAATTACATAATGCAGTGCGAGTAGCCACAAGACAAACTTTTATAAGTGTAAGAATTTTATGAATTTCTTCTGGAAAATACGAAAACACGAAAAAGCGAAAAACCCGCGGCTGGCTTGGACGTTCCCCTTGGCAATATTGACGGTATGGCGTGGGTGCGGTTTAGGCCGCAACTACCGCGGCTCCACTGTTTTTCATCGAAAAGCGTTTTTTAACACTTTTTAAAACTGCACTGTATTGTTTTAAAAACGCTTTTATTACGTCTAAAATAAAAATAATTTCTCTCCGAAGTCCGTTAAAAATAGTTAGTGCGGTATACTACAGAAAAACGCCTATTTTTGCATTATACTGCACTAACTTTTTGTGACAGAGGGAAACGGTAGAATGCTTTGAAAAGCCTCAAAAATTGTTCGTGCAGTATTTTGCATAAAAACGCCGGTACTTATCAAGTTGGGGGGGGCCACTTTGGTTTTCGACTTTTTGAGTCTTTCTAGGCTAGTTTTTTGTGCTGGTTCCGAATATAACAAAATCAGAGTAGTAAAACATCATTATCTAAACGTTTGTTAAGAGTTAGAGTTTCAGCTACCCAGTTTGAGCCTAAAAATAAGGCTTCGTGCCACCCGGGGCCTAGTCGCTTCGGATGGGTGCGAGCTCGTACAGGGTTTCGAAATCGGGGCGCCCGAGGAGCGCGAAGCGCCCAGGCGCCCCGATTTTGAAAGAGTGGAGCGGCAGCCCATCCGAAGCGACGGCCCGCCTTGCCTGACGATGCGGCATGCCCAAATTGTGCATAAGTCCACTTTTTATTAATAAATTTTTTACGCTGTTTTTCTGGATAAACCCAACGGTTTGACATGCTGTTGCGACTCTAATCGCATTCAGCGTAAAAAACTACCCCAGAAAGACTCGAAAAAGCGATAAAAAAGTGTCTCCTAATAGGTACCCAAAGTGGCCCCCCCCAACTTGATAAGTACCAAAACGCCTATTTTTGCAGGATACTGCACAAACTTTTTGTGACGCAGGAATACGGTAGAATGCTTTGAAAAGCCTCAAAAATTGTTAGTGCCGTATTTTGCATAAAGACGTCTATTTTTGTAATATTTTGCGGCTATTTTTACGATCTAATAGTAAAAAACTTTATTTTTAATCCGAATTTAGCCATTTTCGGCGTGATTTTGTACAATTTATCCTCCGGACCATCAGCAAATACAGTAGACACAAACCGGATTGGAAAATTTTACGGAAAAACACAAAAATTATCAAAAAACAAGATGATACCCGTAATTCACATAATGCGGCCGGTCTCGAGAGCACGAAAATACTTGAGGACCGCGAGGTCAGAGAGATTGGGTGGTGAATATTGCCAAAATCAAGGGGTGAAACCTTACAAATTCAGAATACATAGAATGTTATAAATCGGTGCGTACGCAGGATTTCAGTGGACGTTTATACGCTGTGGGCGAGGTAGAAATGGTTGAGGAGGCGGAAGAGGGGCCTCGGCCGGAATCGCGGCAATCCTAAAGGTATATATTAATTTTTTTAAGGTTGTCTGGCTAAAATCACTTAAAATTCACGGTGCACATGGCTGTAACTTACTAATTTGCTGCGGCTTCATCCTGGATTCAAGAAAAGCATGTTTTATTCTGGTTTTTGCCTTGTTAGGCTTTGTTTTGTGGGCAATGTAATTTGGTTTTTGAGTTTTATGACTCGTGTTTTGGTTCTTTGGCGTTGGCGGGGGATTTTTCCCTAGAAAATCAGGAATTTTTCGGAACGTGATAGTCAGTGTTTTATTGCGTTTTGTAAACTTTAACTGGGTAAAAAAACTTCAGACATTTGCTAATTTGCACCAGTGGTCGTTTTTGTCCAAAAAAACGCCAATTTTTTTGGTAAAAGATTGTAAAGATTTTATGCTTAGAAAAAGTCAAAACAAGCTTAGAAACATTGCCTGGCTTAAAAAAGTTACACGACGATGCCAACGGCATATATTACATTTTCGCCAATATTTGGTTTTGGATTTGGTAAATCAGTGTTTATGCTGGTTTTGCCTTATTATTTAGCGATTTAAAAGTAATTTTAAACTTGTTTAAAATTTTTTCTTCAAAAGCATTTGTTTACAACTTACACTATGATCCGACAAGTTCATCTTGGAAAACTCAGGGCTCTTCGCCCGGACGTGGGCCATACAATCATCGAGGTGCGAGGCGAGCAGATCGCACACTTTCAGGCTGTCCGACAGCATCGTGTCGTACACCTGCAATTCGGTAAAATACTCGACTTTAAGAAGTTTATATACCTTTACTACTTTTTAGAAACTTGATTTTTAATTTTTGCAACGTATTTCGATTAATTAAAGTGATAGTCAAGCGAAAAAGGGAGAAAAAATCATGAAATGTAATGCGCGCAAGGCGTAACGATGTCCATAGTAACACCTCGTACCTCCTGCTCAAACAGACAATTCCGCAGCGGATCTTTCGGTTTTTGCGGGATTTTGGCGTGCTTGGGGATTGATCTAAAACACTAATAGATTTCTTAAAAATCGGAAAAGACCTTGCGACAAGCGGTTGATCATCTGCGATCGCTTTTAGTGATTCTACCAACATCATGGGGTCCTCTTCAACGAGCGCATCAAATGAATATGCCTAAAAATTATTGTATTTTACGATTAAGTGTATTTTTACCTTATTTTGCGCGGCCAGCTTCTTCTCCTTTTTGCTGAGTTGTGGGGGAAGTGTGCTTGAGGTATCCTGAAAATTTATATGAATTTTTAAAGTTTCTTTTGCAGCATTAGCTGATTTTGCTTGCGTAGTATCGATTCGTACGTAGGGGTTAAAAATATCATTAAAAATTAAATCAAGTTTTGTTTAAAAATAAACAAATAGCCTTCGATTCTGTTTTTCTAGGTATAACTTTCCAAAGAAACGGACCTTCTTGCCGCTCTTCGCCGACTTGTGCGCCTTCACCCGGTCGGTGAACGACATCTTCCGGGGTTTTGAAGGCTTCTCAAGGGTTTCCTGAAAAAGTATCGATCAGTCAAGCGGATGCTTATTTAATAATAAAGGGAATTTACTTAATAAAGAGATACCTTAGATGGTATTACCTATACCTAATGCCTAATAGATCCATGACACAAGCAAAGAAGTGAAAACCAGCTGACCAAGGCACAGTTGGCCCCCGCCTTGATCGAGTTGGCTGGCCGGGGTGAAAAAGCTCTCAAGCCGGACAGGGTTCGAGAGGGTCGTTTGGTGGTTGAGGGGGGAGGAAAAGCCGTGGAAATCGAGGGGGAAGGGACTCCCGGAAAACAACTCCACCACCACCGCCTATTGCTCCCCATTTGTCAGGGCTTTACGGACACTTTGACTCGATTGACGACTCGGCATTGACGATTTGATTTTGGTAAAGTAGAAATATTTAAGAATTCGTGCAAAAAGGTTAGAAATTTGTGTTCTGGCGGAAAATATTTTAAAAGCATCATTTCCATACTTTTGACATTTCTATTCCTAAAGGATTTCTGCTAGATTGTCTGCCGTAATTGGTTCCGACCGCTCGAATCTGATCCAATAACTTTAAAGGTTTTCGCAAGCCAGAACAAGGGATTTTTTTGGCTATTGATTTTTCAGCAACTTACGGCGCCTGCAATTCTCGGCACTGTATTCGTTGCGTAATCGATTACGGCTCTGAACGCGCAGGAAATACAACAGAAACGCATAGCCAAAAACTCGAAAATCAAGCCTTGCTTGTGCCTTTAAAATTTATTTAGCACCGTGATAATCGACCCTTTCCGTTGACTAGGTCTAGACAGCTACGCCCCATCCAAAAAACAGTATTTTTCCAAAATTGTTTAAGCGTATTTTGGAGGATACCTAGCTGTCGAGACGTAGTCAGGAGGCACGTAGATTTTGGGGCTTGCTAAGCCCCGTTAAAATATAACGCGTTTTCGCGGTCTTTTAATGAAAATCAATTTTACCTGTAAATTCAGCTTAAAATCATCGTGTGATTGTGTGCCGTTGATCTTCTTCTTCGACCGGCGGAACAGGGATAGAAATGGACTGGAAGAGGGGGCTCGTTGCTGGCGGGTGGCTGTCTCGACGTCGCTCATCTCGTTTCGGGTCTGAAACTAGTAAGCTTGAAGTTTCTAAGCAGCTACAAAAAAAAGATAAAGAAAAAGAAGAAACTTTTACGAAAGGCGATAGCTATCAAGGAAAGGCAGACTGGCAAGGTCATTTAGGCGCGTTTTCGGCTTTCAATACTAGGTATCAATACTGGTAGGTGATCTAGCAAGGGGTTTTTAGGCCCAGGAATGTAAGGGATGGCTAGCAGAGATTCATGGGGATTAAAAGAAACAGGGATGTTGCCAGCTTAGCCGTTCTAACCGGAAGCTAACCTGCTTTTAAAGTACCCTCCAGCCGATTCTCAGCCCTCTTTAACCCCAGCCTACAACACGGTTGAGCCGCAGAAAATTGCTGGTAGCCGGGGCTGCAGTCTCGACCGGAGTCTCACGAAATAATTCCCACACAATTCAATGGACCCGACCAGTCCCAAGGACATGAGATTCACTACGCGGCAGGCCTATTATTTCCGAGACGCTCCCCTGTCGTACGTCGCGCAATGGCCGTTTTTTACAAAAGGCGTAGAGAAGCACTCGTCAAACCTGAGCAATTTATGTAAGTAAAGCAAGACTTATCCTTGTTACCGTCACGTACCATTTAAAGGTACCTGGAAGACAAACAACTATTGGAATAGAATCAATAATTTTTGGTTGAATTTTTATGAATAAAGCTTTAAATGCTAAAGCTTTAAAAATTGGCCACTCGGGAGAAAATTCGAATTTCCATGTTTCCTTTTCGGCTAACCGGCTGGAGGCAAGGTGTCAAGGAGTGTGGAATTTGTCGTATTTGTACATCTCTCTCTCTACCTCTCTCTCTCTGGCTGTATGTGTATGGTTGTGAGGGCAAGAAGAGGACATTCGCAACTCGTCCCCTCCTGCTTGGGCAAATATTCGAATTCGAAGGCCATATTTGGAAGAGGGGGGTCGACACGGAGGAGGAGGTGATTCTGGTATCGCCCCGCGATCAAGTTGACAAAGGCTGGTGTTTGGAATTTTTAAGGTATGAAAAATAGGCAAAAAGTTTAGAAATTTAGCCATGAGGCAAAACCTTTACTGCTTCACTCAAATTTAGAAGAAAATACGCAATTAATGGGACTTAAGAAGATTACGGTAACGCGCGTGACATCCGGAGCGCCGTCGATAAAAATAAACATAAAACTGGTCAGAATTCCAGAGGTTACGGCTTTACCATACCTACCGGAACCTCAATGCCCCGAAAAAGCCCGCTTTTTCCTGAGCAAATCCACAAAAAAGGCGTCGAAAAAGCCGCGTTATCTGCCCGGGGAATGTTCGTCAATGGCCGGGCGGGGGTTGAGTCAGTCCGAAACGGGAAAAGTTTTTCCGAGCTACACCTCCTAACACCTCGATTTTTCGGTGTTTTGGGGTGTACGGCTAAAGTTTACGCTCATGGAATGGCAGGATTGTGAAATTTCCATAAAAACGAACAACCCAACCAACTCCAAAGATCTAAGCGAAGCCTAAGCCTAAGCCTAAGCCTAAGCCGAAGCGTGACATAAGCCTGGGCTTAAGCCTAACTTAAGCCTAAGTCAGAGCTTAAGCAAGCCTATGCCTAAGCCCAAGCCTAAGCCCAAGCCTAAGCCCAAGCCCAAGCCTAAGCCTCAACCTAAGCCAAAGCCTAGCCAAAGCCTCAGCCTAACCTAAGCCTAGGCCTAACCTACACCTAAGCCTAACCTAAGCCAGCGACGGACTAACACTTGCAATTTACGTTTTAAAGATATCTAAACTCTTTATATAATCGTTAAATCAAACAAAAAGTAGTATTTTGGCGTGTTTGCCAACATTGTTGTCGAAGGCATTGCCCCCGGAAATCGGCTACTCCTTCCCCCCGCCCCCCAAGCTATAAAATCCGGGGGTGAATCCCCCCGGGCGCCAAATTGGATTCTACCAACGATGGGGGTCAACTTTTAGGCGCGCACCCCGGATTCACACCCTTGCAAAAAAGTAATCCAACAGGGATGAGGAGAGAACTTCCGGAACGGTCTCTGCCAGGTCAATTAGCAGTATTCGGATCATTCTGGAAATGGCCAGGTAAGTTAGCAGCGAGCAGGGCGAACTAGCGGCGTTTCATCAATGGGCAAGAAAAGTAGAATTCTATGCAAAGAGCGAGCTGGCAGCGATCCCTAGGAAATGGGCAGAAATCTGCAAAAGCATTTAGAAATCGGCAGAGTAGCTGATGAATCTCGGGGGTAGGCTAGCAAAGAAATTTGAGGAATCGGGCGACACTTACAACTACGCTATGAAAATACAAAAAAAAACCGGTGAGATGAATTCCCCAAGTTCTATTTTCCTCTTTCCCAGCCTTGACTGGCCTGACGCTGACCTAGATGCGGATGACTTTTTTTGCCTGGGACTGTGACTATGTCTCTAGGTAAGAAAATGAAAACCCATAACTATCGGCTCAAAGAAATGGAAGAAGGAAAGTTGCGGAAAGTTATGAGGTCAAGGCGTCGGAATCTTGAGGCAGGGGAGGGACAATCTCGTGTCTAGCTGCTAGATCGCTATCGCTAAAGAGATTTATTAGTGTGTGGGGCAGATGAATCTGGAGGGAGTCTGGAAAGATGAGAGATGAGGATTGCGCAACGGGAGGAGGTATCAAAAAGGTCGGAATTAAAGGAGCCAGGAAGCTTCCAACTAGGCCGTCTAGGTATCGGCATTCACGGTATCTTTGGCCCTCTCTTTCCCAGTTCCTCTCACTCTCTCGCTCTCTCACTCTCTCTCTCTTTCTCGTTCTCTCTCTACCGTAACCAAACTCGAATTCAGCAAGCAAAAAAGAAGCCAACCCATGTACTCCGCTCTCAGATTTGCATGGCCATGGCCCTAGGCGACGCGTGTGGCCCATAAATCGTGTGGATGACCCCGGGAGGGCCCATTAGGACCCCGAGGCCCTTCCCCCATTCGCCTGGGGCTGATCTTTACTCTTTATCTATCGCTTTCTCACTCTCTCTCTCTCTCTCTCTCTCTCTCTCTCTCTCTCTCTGCCCAACTCTCCATACAATTGGGGCGCCTTTTAGCCTGAGGGCAAATATTTAGCGGTGCATATTCTTCGCGCATTTGGGCACACCTTAAGAGGGTTGGTTGGGGGAGATTTTAAAGGGACTGGCAAGGAAGGGTTATGGATTTTAAGCGTCAGATCGAGAGATAGAGAGAGAGAGAGAGCGGAGAGAGAGAGAGAGAGCGACAATGACAGACAAACGCTAGCAAAAAGTATATTGATAAAAGATAACTTGAAGGCAAGAAAATCCAAGAAATCGGAACTCCATGACGCGTTTCAAAACTTTTCCGTGATGTTTCCGTTTTTCCAAATAGGGCGGGCGGCGTGTTGTATGGATGATGGGGCTCGTTGAGCGCCACTGACTCATCCCCTTAAAAGCCAAAAAGATCGACTTTTCGGCCCTGAAACGCTCGGCACATTTGCCTGGAAGGTGAACACAACCTGGCAGGCTGGTAAGGCCATCGGCAGGACCCGAAAAAAAGACGCTTGGGATAAAGTATTGGGTAAAATTAAAATGCCATTGACATACTAGTTTAATTTCATGTCTTGCCGGTTCAATTTCCTAGCTTGAAACAGTGAAAGCGTGGACTACGGGTGCCCTTTCCGTATCCGAAACTTCCAAAACCCCCCAAAGATGAAACAATGAAGACGTGAATGAAGCGGAATGTGGACAATCGGATGCGATTTCGCTTCTTTTCACCCGCGACGCTTTTTGATCGCCCTCCGCCATTTTCCCATCCATAAACATGGGAAATATATCGAAAAGCATCGACGAAAAGTGGGTGAAAAAACCAAGGCACTTAAACGGATGTAAATCGAAAAGACAACCGGAAGCTGGAGTGGAATGGAATGGATCAGCATGGATTTCGAGGCTTTTGAATCGAATAGGTGAGGGCAGGCTAGCAGAAGTCATTTGAGAGGGACAGAGAGCGATAGCGAGAGAGATCGATAGAAAGCCAGAGAGTACCTGGGAGATACATTGAAATAGCGAGTGACAAAGAGCAACTGGGATAGAAAGAGAGAGAGAGAGAGGGGGGAGAGCGGGAGAGAGAGAGAGCGGGATGGAGAGAGAGAGCGTGGGTGAGAAAGATCCTGAATGTTTAAAAGGTCAATCAAGCCTTACAGCTCAAAATTACATGCTTCTAAATGGCTAAGAGTCCCCGCTTGAAGATAGACCATCTAATCAAAAAATGGCTCCGCATTAGCAAAACATCAGAAAAACGCTCATCCATGGCCAAGTGAAGGAGGAAGATAGTTTGGAGGGGATGCATTTGAAAGCAACGGGGAAGACTACTAGGGGATGAACAAGAAAATGGCTAGAAAGGGAAGAGAAGAAAGGGAGAAGATTCTACTTGTCTTCCCCTTTCCAGTCGTCCTCTACGGCCCATTGCCCCCATCAGGAGTCAGAAGGCCCCCCGCCTCACAACCCGAAAATTGGCGGATCCGCTAGCCACGCGACTGGTTGGGAATTTTGGTTGTACATGAAATTCGTAAGAATTGCGATGAGAAAGTGAGGCAGCGTGAGAAAGAGATAGAGATAAAGAGATAGAGAGTGAGACAGACAGAATGACCCAACGACTCTGCAAAGTGTATCGTCGCGGAAAACCGTTCCAGACCCTACGTGAATGCTGAAATTACGGGTTCCCCCCCAAGGCACACCTTGGTACGTTTACAACTTTTTACAAGGCAGCGACGCCGATGGTTGATGGCGCCTTTGATAGTACGTGATGTGCGAGAAGGGGTATTATAGAGCGGGAGAAAGAGAACAAGTCAGAGAGAGAGAGAGTAATAACCTAACGAAAACAGCACGACTACTGTATAACTTTTAAAAGACCGGCCGGCAGCTAGCAAGTAAATTTGCGAATGTCTCCTCGCGGCGAGTCAAAAGGCCAAAATGTGGCGATTGGCAGATGTACACGGCAAAAACCATCAATCCCCGCAGAGAAACGCAAGGCTGGAAATGACCAGCTGTCTCCGC